AACTGCACCCATCACCAGCACCATGTTTGAGACAGCCTCTACTGCTGCTGCTCAGGTCACATACACTGTTGAGTCCACCACTGTGTCCACCACCATCATGTCTGACGTCACCACTTCTGCATTCCAGTCTACCGTACAACGTGAGTCTTTAGCTTCAGCCTCTTCGCTTTGGCCAGAGACCTCTCCACTTGCGACAGGCTCTACAGTTTTTTCCAGATCAGAATATTCGAGCACATCTCCTGTAATGACGTCTTCCCAGCTTCTTTTCTCTAACTTTCGTCCAGTTCCTGCAAAGACATCTTGCACATCTTTTCTTGGTCTCAATAGCACAGCACATTTCCAAACATCAATATTACCTCATAGTACTCTTGGTGTCAAACCCAGTAATTTGTAATACTCATGAAAATTGAATAAGTTTGTTCAATTTTTTTCTCTTGAATAGTAGATTTAGTACACCTTTGTTTGTTTTTTTTTAAATCCCATGATGTCTAAAGACTGCCTTTCTAAATATATTTTTTCAATTGTTCCTTTATTTTGTTATTTTTTTTGCAATGATCATTACCGTATCATCTGAAATGTGACTGCATCATATGACTGCTTTTTATTTTTTTTAAATTAGGTAACCATTCAGGTATTTTTGTAATGTGGTCTATTGTTTGCCTACATTGACATTGTCAATTAAAGGGCATAAAATGCCCAAGTGGTTTATTTTTCTCCAATGCAAATTCGTAGTTATCAGTGCTGGAATACAAAGTATTCCACTGGAAAATTATACTAGTATAATATTGAGATAATCGTTTAACAGGTATATAATTATCTATATATCCATATATTGATACCTAATATCTGGAAAAATTAAAATAAAAAAAATCTTAATATATGCGTTTTAACAGGAGAAGTAAACAATCATAATTCAGATGAGGAATAAAAAACCCACAACATTGAATAAAGAACAAGGAAAAAAGTGGCATGGATGGGGAACCCCATGACAGCCAGGAGTGAACTCTGAACTCTATGATTAATTATCCAGAGCCTTGACACAACTGTATCTCTTTCTCTACCTCCCTTGACCTCCAATTTCCAATTGCAATCACACCTTTGCATATAAAGATCTATTTCTATAATGACAGTTTTATTAATGTATATCATAATCTGAGCCTCTTGCCCATTGTCATTCCCCCTTTGTGCTTCTTCCAGCTCCCACCCAGCCACCAACAACGACAGCTGCTGCCATTGAGCGTTTCACCGTCAACTTCACCATCACCAACCTTCCCTACACTTCCAACCTGGAGAATCCTGACTCAGCCAAATTCAAAGCTACTCAAAGGGTTATGAACACCTTGGTAAGTGGGCCTGCACTGGGAAATTGTCTTGTCCTCCCTGGGTTCCCCACACTTAGAAGAACAGTGTGATTGCCATGCCTTAACTGTGACACCATTTCCCTTGGCAGCTGGACCGCCTGCTGAAGGAAAGCAGCATTGGCCCTGTTTTCCAAGGATGTGAGACAACAGACTTCAGGTATGAGTGTCCCTCCAGTGTGCCTCTCTGTGCCCTTGCTTATGTATGTGGGCCAGTCATGGTCTTGTTCTCCACCTTTATGGAGCAAGGACATTCTCCATCCATCCCAGGATCTTCTTCCGAATGCACCTCATGCTTAGATGTCCCCCTCATTTCCTGCATTCCCCACTTCAAGCAGGGAAGGCCCAAAAGTTCTTGCAGGCCCTCTGCTTCCTAAATATGCCAAGGCTGTTATTGAAGGTGCAGATCAGTGTACAGCTACAAAACACATACTCCAATTTTGGAAAGACAAATGTTAAATCACCACTCTGAAATGACCACGGCAGTTCCATGATGCAAGATTGAGAAGAAAAAAGGCAGAGGAGGGTGCTGAGGGAGGTCCCTGTGTTTTGCAGGCCAGGCAGCCACAGGGACGAGACCCGGGTGGACGCCGTGTGCACCTACAGCAAGGAGGCCTCGGCTGCGCCTTTGGACAGGGTGGGGCTGTACCACCAAGTGAGCAACAAGACCAGAGGCATCACCCAGCTGGGCCCCTACAGCCTGGACAAGGACAGCCTCTACGTCAACGGTGACTGAGGCTCCTCCCTCGGCCTCCTCTGCTCTGCCAAGGCAGCCCTCGCCCAGTGCTGCCCCTGGCCCACATCCAGCTCCTGACCCTCTGTCTCTCTCTTTTCCCAGGATACAACGAGCAGCCAGTGCTGACCAGTGAGTACCTTGCAGGAGTGGGATGGGATGTGAAGGCAGCAAAGGGCTCACTGAGGCTTTCCTCAAGCAGAGGAGGCTGAGGGCTTGTGCTTGGGCTTCCTGGATAGGGGCAGGAATTCTTCCAGCCTTTCCCATGGAGAGCAGGGATGGCTGGATGACCTCTATGGTTTTCCAAGCACAGCCTTGACATCTTGGGTTTTGCCTCTTTTCCTTCCCCCTTTGTGCTTCTTCCAGCTCCCACCCAGCCACCAACAACGACAGCTGCTGCCATTGAGCGTTTCACCGTCAACTTCACCATCACCAACCTTCCCTACACTTCCAACCTGGAGAATCCTGACTCAGCCAAATTCAAAGCTACTCAAAGGGTTATGAACACCTTGGTAAGTGGGCCTGCACTGGGAAATTGTCTTGTCCTCCCTGGGTTCCCCACACTTAGAAGAACAGTGTGATTGCCATGCCTTAACTGTGACACCATTTCCCTTGGCAGCTGGACCGCCTGCTGAAGGAAAGCAGCATTGGCCCTGTTTTCCAAGGATGTGAGACAACAGACTTCAGGTATGAGTGTCCCTCCAGTGTGCCTCTCTGTGCCCTTGCTTATGTATGTGGGCCAGTCATGGTCTTGTTCTCCACCTTTATGGAGCAAGGACATTCTCCATCCATCCCAGGATCTTCTTCCGAATGCACCTCATGCTTAGATGTCCCCCTCATTTCCTGCATTCCCCACTTCAAGCAGGGAAGGCCCAAAAGTTCTTGCAGGCCCTCTGCTTCCTAAATATGCCAAGGCTGTTATTGAAGGTGCAGATCAGTGTACAGCTACAAAACACATACTCCAATTTTGGAAAGACAAATGTTAAATCACCACTCTGAAATGACCACGGCAGTTCCATGATGCAAGATTGAGAAGAAAAAAGGCAGAGGAGGGTGCTGAGGGAGGTCCCTGTGTTTTGCAGGCCAGGCAGCCACAGGGACGAGACCCGGGTGGACGCCGTGTGCACCTACAGCAAGGAGGCCTCGGCTGCGCCTTTGGACAGGGTGGGGCTGTACCACCAAGTGAGCAACAAGACCAGAGGCATCACCCAGCTGGGCCCCTACAGCCTGGACAAGGACAGCCTCTACGTCAACGGTGACTGAGGCTCCTCCCTCGGCCTCCTCTGCTCTGCCAAGGCAGCCCTCGCCCAGTGCTGCCCCTGGCCCACATCCAGCTCCTGACCCTCTGTCTCTCTCTTTTCCCAGGATACAACGAGCAGCCAGTGCTGACCAGTGAGTACCTTGCAGGAGTGGGATGGGATGTGAAGGCAGCAAAGGGCTCACTGAGGCTTTCCTCAAGCAGAGGAGGCTGAGGGCTTGTGCTTGGGCTTCCTGGATAGGGGCAGGAATTCTTCCAGCCTTTCCCATGGAGAGCAGGGATGGCTGGATGACCTCTATGGTTTTCCAAGCACAGCCTTGACATCTTGGGTTTTGCCTCTTTTCCTTCCCCCTTTGTGCTTCTTCCAGCTCCCACCCAGCCACCAACAACGACAGCTGCTGCCATTGAGCGTTTCACCGTCAACTTCACCATCACCAACCTTCCCTACACTTCCAACCTGGAGAATCCTGACTCAGCCAAATTCAAAGCTACTCAAAGGGTTATGAACACCTTGGTAAGTGGGCCTGCACTGGGAAATTGTCTTGTCCTCCCTGGGTTCCCCACACTTAGAAGAACAGTGTGATTGCCATGCCTTAACTGTGACACCATTTCCCTTGGCAGCTGGACCGCCTGCTGAAGGAAAGCAGCATTGGCCCTGTTTTCCAAGGATGTGAGACAACAGACTTCAGGTATGAGTGTCCCTCCAGTGTGCCTCTCTGTGCCCTTGCTTATGTATGTGGGCCAGTCATGGTCTTGTTCTCCACCTTTATGGAGCAAGGACATTCTCCATCCATCCCAGGATCTTCTTCCGAATGCACCTCATGCTTAGATGTCCCCCTCATTTCCTGCATTCCCCACTTCAAGCAGGGAAGGCCCAAAAGTTCTTGCAGGCCCTCTGCTTCCTAAATATGCCAAGGCTGTTATTGAAGGTGCAGATCAGTGTACAGCTACAAAACACATACTCCAATTTTGGAAAGACAAATGTTAAATCACCACTCTGAAATGACCACGGCAGTTCCATGATGCAAGATTGAGAAGAAAAAAGGCAGAGGAGGGTGCTGAGGGAGGTCCCTGTGTTTTGCAGGCCAGGCAGCCACAGGGACGAGACCCGGGTGGACGCCGTGTGCACCTACAGCAAGGAGGCCTCGGCTGCGCCTTTGGACAGGGTGGGGCTGTACCACCAAGTGAGCAACAAGACCAGAGGCATCACCCAGCTGGGCCCCTACAGCCTGGACAAGGACAGCCTCTACGTCAACGGTGACTGAGGCTCCTCCCTCGGCCTCCTCTGCTCTGCCAAGGCAGCCCTCGCCCAGTGCTGCCCCTGGCCCACATCCAGCTCCTGACCCTCTGTCTCTCTCTTTTCCCAGGATACAACGAGCAGCCAGTGCTGACCAGTGAGTACCTTGCAGGAGTGGGATGGGATGTGAAGGCAGCAAAGGGCTCACTGAGGCTTTCCTCAAGCAGAGGAGGCTGAGGGCTTGTGCTTGGGCTTCCTGGATAGGGGCAGGAATTCTTCCAGCCTTTCCCATGGAGAGCAGGGATGGCTGGATGACCTCTATGGTTTTCCAAGCACAGCCTTGACATCTTGGGTTTTGCCTCTTTTCCTTCCCCCTTTGTGCTTCTTCCAGCTCCCACCCAGCCACCAACAACGACAGCTGCTGCCATTGAGCGTTTCACCGTCAACTTCACCATCACCAACCTTCCCTACACTTCCAACCTGGAGAATCCTGACTCAGCCAAATTCAAAGCTACTCAAAGGGTTATGAACACCTTGGTAAGTGGGCCTGCACTGGGAAATTGTCTTGTCCTCCCTGGGTTCCCCACACTTAGAAGAACAGTGTGATTGCCATGCCTTAACTGTGACACCATTTCCCTTGGCAGCTGGACCGCCTGCTGAAGGAAAGCAGCATTGGCCCTGTTTTCCAAGGATGTGAGACAACAGACTTCAGGTATGAGTGTCCCTCCAGTGTGCCTCTCTGTGCCCTTGCTTATGTATGTGGGCCAGTCATGGTCTTGTTCTCCACCTTTATGGAGCAAGGACATTCTCCATCCATCCCAGGATCTTCTTCCGAATGCACCTCATGCTTAGATGTCCCCCTCATTTCCTGCATTCCCCACTTCAAGCAGGGAAGGCCCAAAAGTTCTTGCAGGCCCTCTGCTTCCTAAATATGCCAAGGCTGTTATTGAAGGTGCAGATCAGTGTACAGCTACAAAACACATACTCCAATTTTGGAAAGACAAATGTTAAATCACCACTCTGAAATGACCACGGCAGTTCCATGATGCAAGATTGAGAAGAAAAAAGGCAGAGGAGGGTGCTGAGGGAGGTCCCTGTGTTTTGCAGGCCAGGCAGCCACAGGGACGAGACCCGGGTGGACGCCGTGTGCACCTACAGCAAGGAGGCCTCGGCTGCGCCTTTGGACAGGGTGGGGCTGTACCACCAAGTGAGCAACAAGACCAGAGGCATCACCCAGCTGGGCCCCTACAGCCTGGACAAGGACAGCCTCTACGTCAACGGTGACTGAGGCTCCTCCCTCGGCCTCCTCTGCTCTGCCAAGGCAGCCCTCGCCCAGTGCTGCCCCTGGCCCACATCCAGCTCCTGACCCTCTGTCTCTCTCTTTTCCCAGGATACAACGAGCAGCCAGTGCTGACCAGTGAGTACCTTGCAGGAGTGGGATGGGATGTGAAGGCAGCAAAGGGCTCACTGAGGCTTTCCTCAAGCAGAGGAGGCTGAGGGCTTGTGCTTGGGCTTCCTGGATAGGGGCAGGAATTCTTCCAGCCTTTCCCATGGAGAGCAGGGATGGCTGGATGACCTCTATGGTTTTCCAAGCACAGCCTTGACATCTTGGGTTTTGCCTCTTTTCCTTCCCCCTTTGTGCTTCTTCCAGCTCCCACCCAGCCACCAACAACGACAGCTGCTGCCATTGAGCGTTTCACCGTCAACTTCACCATCACCAACCTTCCCTACACTTCCAACCTGGAGAATCCTGACTCAGCCAAATTCAAAGCTACTCAAAGGGTTATGAACACCTTGGTAAGTGGGCCTGCACTGGGAAATTGTCTTGTCCTCCCTGGGTTCCCCACACTTAGAAGAACAGTGTGATTGCCATGCCTTAACTGTGACACCATTTCCCTTGGCAGCTGGACCGCCTGCTGAAGGAAAGCAGCATTGGCCCTGTTTTCCAAGGATGTGAGACAACAGACTTCAGGTATGAGTGTCCCTCCAGTGTGCCTCTCTGTGCCCTTGCTTATGTATGTGGGCCAGTCATGGTCTTGTTCTCCACCTTTATGGAGCAAGGACATTCTCCATCCATCCCAGGATCTTCTTCCGAATGCACCTCATGCTTAGATGTCCCCCTCATTTCCTGCATTCCCCACTTCAAGCAGGGAAGGCCCAAAAGTTCTTGCAGGCCCTCTGCTTCCTAAATATGCCAAGGCTGTTATTGAAGGTGCAGATCAGTGTACAGCTACAAAACACATACTCCAATTTTGGAAAGACAAATGTTAAATCACCACTCTGAAATGACCACGGCAGTTCCATGATGCAAGATTGAGAAGAAAAAAGGCAGAGGAGGGTGCTGAGGGAGGTCCCTGTGTTTTGCAGGCCAGGCAGCCACAGGGACGAGACCCGGGTGGACGCCGTGTGCACCTACAGCAAGGAGGCCTCGGCTGCGCCTTTGGACAGGGTGGGGCTGTACCACCAAGTGAGCAACAAGACCAGAGGCATCACCCAGCTGGGCCCCTACAGCCTGGACAAGGACAGCCTCTACGTCAACGGTGACTGAGGCTCCTCCCTCGGCCTCCTCTGCTCTGCCAAGGCAGCCCTCGCCCAGTGCTGCCCCTGGCCCACATCCAGCTCCTGACCCTCTGTCTCTCTCTTTTCCCAGGATACAACGAGCAGCCAGTGCTGACCAGTGAGTACCTTGCAGGAGTGGGATGGGATGTGAAGGCAGCAAAGGGCTCACTGAGGCTTTCCTCAAGCAGAGGAGGCTGAGGGCTTGTGCTTGGGCTTCCTGGATAGGGGCAGGAATTCTTCCAGCCTTTCCCATGGAGAGCAGGGATGGCTGGATGACCTCTATGGTTTTCCAAGCACAGCCTTGACATCTTGGGTTTTGCCTCTTTTCCTTCCCCCTTTGTGCTTCTTCCAGCTCCCACCCAGCCACCAACAACGACAGCTGCTGCCATTGAGCGTTTCACCGTCAACTTCACCATCACCAACCTTCCCTACACTTCCAACCTGGAGAATCCTGACTCAGCCAAATTCAAAGCTACTCAAAGGGTTATGAACACCTTGGTAAGTGGGCCTGCACTGGGAAATTGTCTTGTCCTCCCTGGGTTCCCCACACTTAGAAGAACAGTGTGATTGCCATGCCTTAACTGTGACACCATTTCCCTTGGCAGCTGGACCGCCTGCTGAAGGAAAGCAGCATTGGCCCTGTTTTCCAAGGATGTGAGACAACAGACTTCAGGTATGAGTGTCCCTCCAGTGTGCCTCTCTGTGCCCTTGCTTATGTATGTGGGCCAGTCATGGTCTTGTTCTCCACCTTTATGGAGCAAGGACATTCTCCATCCATCCCAGGATCTTCTTCCGAATGCACCTCATGCTTAGATGTCCCCCTCATTTCCTGCATTCCCCACTTCAAGCAGGGAAGGCCCAAAAGTTCTTGCAGGCCCTCTGCTTCCTAAATATGCCAAGGCTGTTATTGAAGGTGCAGATCAGTGTACAGCTACAAAACACATACTCCAATTTTGGAAAGACAAATGTTAAATCACCACTCTGAAATGACCACGGCAGTTCCATGATGCAAGATTGAGAAGAAAAAAGGCAGAGGAGGGTGCTGAGGGAGGTCCCTGTGTTTTGCAGGCCAGGCAGCCACAGGGACGAGACCCGGGTGGACGCCGTGTGCACCTACAGCAAGGAGGCCTCGGCTGCGCCTTTGGACAGGGTGGGGCTGTACCACCAAGTGAGCAACAAGACCAGAGGCATCACCCAGCTGGGCCCCTACAGCCTGGACAAGGACAGCCTCTACGTCAACGGTGACTGAGGCTCCTCCCTCGGCCTCCTCTGCTCTGCCAAGGCAGCCCTCGCCCAGTGCTGCCCCTGGCCCACATCCAGCTCCTGACCCTCTGTCTCTCTCTTTTCCCAGGATACAACGAGCAGCCAGTGCTGACCAGTGAGTACCTTGCAGGAGTGGGATGGGATGTGAAGGCAGCAAAGGGCTCACTGAGGCTTTCCTCAAGCAGAGGAGGCTGAGGGCTTGTGCTTGGGCTTCCTGGATAGGGGCAGGAATTCTTCCAGCCTTTCCCATGGAGAGCAGGGATGGCTGGATGACCTCTATGGTTTTCCAAGCACAGCCTTGACATCTTGGGTTTTGCCTCTTTTCCTTCCCCCTTTGTGCTTCTTCCAGCTCCCACCCAGCCACCAACAACGACAGCTGCTGCCATTGAGCGTTTCACCGTCAACTTCACCATCACCAACCTTCCCTACACTTCCAACCTGGAGAATCCTGACTCAGCCAAATTCAAAGCTACTCAAAGGGTTATGAACACCTTGGTAAGTGGGCCTGCACTGGGAAATTGTCTTGTCCTCCCTGGGTTCCCCACACTTAGAAGAACAGTGTGATTGCCATGCCTTAACTGTGACACCATTTCCCTTGGCAGCTGGACCGCCTGCTGAAGGAAAGCAGCATTGGCCCTGTTTTCCAAGGATGTGAGACAACAGACTTCAGGTATGAGTGTCCCTCCAGTGTGCCTCTCTGTGCCCTTGCTTATGTATGTGGGCCAGTCATGGTCTTGTTCTCCACCTTTATGGAGCAAGGACATTCTCCATCCATCCCAGGATCTTCTTCCGAATGCACCTCATGCTTAGATGTCCCCCTCATTTCCTGCATTCCCCACTTCAAGCAGGGAAGGCCCAAAAGTTCTTGCAGGCCCTCTGCTTCCTAAATATGCCAAGGCTGTTATTGAAGGTGCAGATCAGTGTACAGCTACAAAACACATACTCCAATTTTGGAAAGACAAATGTTAAATCACCACTCTGAAATGACCACGGCAGTTCCATGATGCAAGATTGAGAAGAAAAAAGGCAGAGGAGGGTGCTGAGGGAGGTCCCTGTGTTTTGCAGGCCAGGCAGCCACAGGGACGAGACCCGGGTGGACGCCGTGTGCACCTACAGCAAGGAGGCCTCGGCTGCGCCTTTGGACAGGGTGGGGCTGTACCACCAAGTGAGCAACAAGACCAGAGGCATCACCCAGCTGGGCCCCTACAGCCTGGACAAGGACAGCCTCTACGTCAACGGTGACTGAGGCTCCTCCCTCGGCCTCCTCTGCTCTGCCAAGGCAGCCCTCGCCCAGTGCTGCCCCTGGCCCACATCCAGCTCCTGACCCTCTGTCTCTCTCTTTTCCCAGGATACAACGAGCAGCCAGTGCTGACCAGTGAGTACCTTGCAGGAGTGGGATGGGATGTGAAGGCAGCAAAGGGCTCACTGAGGCTTTCCTCAAGCAGAGGAGGCTGAGGGCTTGTGCTTGGGCTTCCTGGATAGGGGCAGGAATTCTTCCAGCCTTTCCCATGGAGAGCAGGGATGGCTGGATGACCTCTATGGTTTTCCAAGCACAGCCTTGACATCTTGGGTTTTGCCTCTTTTCCTTCCCCCTTTGTGCTTCTTCCAGCTCCCACCCAGCCACCAACAACGACAGCTGCTGCCATTGAGCGTTTCACCGTCAACTTCACCATCACCAACCTTCCCTACACTTCCAACCTGGAGAATCCTGACTCAGCCAAATTCAAAGCTACTCAAAGGGTTATGAACACCTTGGTAAGTGGGCCTGCACTGGGAAATTGTCTTGTCCTCCCTGGGTTCCCCACACTTAGAAGAACAGTGTGATTGCCATGCCTTAACTGTGACACCATTTCCCTTGGCAGCTGGACCGCCTGCTGAAGGAAAGCAGCATTGGCCCTGTTTTCCAAGGATGTGAGACAACAGACTTCAGGTATGAGTGTCCCTCCAGTGTGCCTCTCTGTGCCCTTGCTTATGTATGTGGGCCAGTCATGGTCTTGTTCTCCACCTTTATGGAGCAAGGACATTCTCCATCCATCCCAGGATCTTCTTCCGAATGCACCTCATGCTTAGATGTCCCCCTCATTTCCTGCATTCCCCACTTCAAGCAGGGAAGGCCCAAAAGTTCTTGCAGGCCCTCTGCTTCCTAAATATGCCAAGGCTGTTATTGAAGGTGCAGATCAGTGTACAGCTACAAAACACATACTCCAATTTTGGAAAGACAAATGTTAAATCACCACTCTGAAATGACCACGGCAGTTCCATGATGCAAGATTGAGAAGAAAAAAGGCAGAGGAGGGTGCTGAGGGAGGTCCCTGTGTTTTGCAGGCCAGGCAGCCACAGGGACGAGACCCGGGTGGACGCCGTGTGCACCTACAGCAAGGAGGCCTCGGCTGCGCCTTTGGACAGGGTGGGGCTGTACCACCAAGTGAGCAACAAGACCAGAGGCATCACCCAGCTGGGCCCCTACAGCCTGGACAAGGACAGCCTCTACGTCAACGGTGACTGAGGCTCCTCCCTCGGCCTCCTCTGCTCTGCCAAGGCAGCCCTCGCCCAGTGCTGCCCCTGGCCCACATCCAGCTCCTGACCCTCTGTCTCTCTCTTTTCCCAGGATACAACGAGCAGCCAGTGCTGACCAGTGAGTACCTTGCAGGAGTGGGATGGGATCTGAAGGCATCAAGGGCCTCATACTGGTCTTCTTTAGGGCAGTGGACTCTGCGGGCTGGGGCTTGAGATCCTTGGGGTCATCGGGAGTCTTCTTGCCTTGGCCATGGAGAGCTGGGCTGGCAGGAGACCTCTGCATTCATGCAGCCAGAGCTGTAACCATCACAGTTTTCCAATTTGTAATTCCCTATCTGTTCTTCTTTCAGCTCCAACCCATCCAACAACGACAGCTGCTCTCCTTGAGCGTTTCACCGTCAACTTCACCATCACCAACCTTCCCTACACTTCCGACCTGGAGAATCCTGACTCGGCCAAGTTCAGAGCCACTCGAAGGGTTATGAACATGATGGTAGGTGGACCAGCACTGAGCCATATCCTTGGCCTCCCTGATCTCATCAGTTTGGTAGCAGTGCAGAGGAGCTGGCCAAGGCTTAATTGTGAAACTTCTTCCATTGGCAGCTGGACCGCCTGCTGAAGACCAGCACCATTGGTCCTGCTTTTCAGGGATGTGAAACAGACTTCAGGTATGCTCTGCACCCCAGTGTCCCTTTGCAAGCCTCATGCTCACATGAGAGGTCAAGGGCTGGTTCGGAGAACACTCATGTTGTCCACTTTTATGGAGGGAGCCCCTTCTCGTTGATGCCGTCCTGCTCCAGGATGTTCTCCCTGATGCCACTTCCTCTTGGAGGTCCCTCCCTAAACCCGCACTCTCATCCTTGCATGGAATAGGCCAAGATTATTTGGTGAATTCAAGAGTATTTTCAACGCCGTTCCAGGCTCTCTCCTTAATCAAGTTTCCCAGAGCATTAGTGAGGATGAGGAGCAGTATGTGGCCACCAAACACACAGACATTTAGGGAAGGCAGACCAAGGATTTCAACTTACAAATGGCTATGAAAGGCTTAAAAGGAGAATGTACAGATGAGAGTGCTGAGGGAGGTCCCTGTGTTTTGCAGGCCAGGCAGCCACAGGGACGAGACCCGGGTGGACGCCGTGTGCACCTACAGCAAGGAGGCCTCGGCTGCGCCTTTGGACAGGGTGGGGCTGTACCACCAAGTGAGCAACAAGACCAGAGGCATCACCCAGCTGGGCCCCTACAGCCTGGACAAGGACAGCCTCTACGTCAACGGTGATTTTTTTTTTTTCATTTATTTAATTTTCCTATATTTCATTTTCTATGCTTTCGTGATTTCATATCTCGTCCATTTCTTTAGCGAAATCATTCCTCTTTTTATAGTATTTTTTCTTCTTTCACTCATTTTTATCTCATGCTTTTTACTGCGGACTTCTCTAACACTCTACATTTAATATATTAAAATTAATCTTTTTCACGTGTATTTTCTCATTTACACTATGTTAAAGTATTCTATTTACGAATATCTCAGAAAATATAGGGACTGACCTCTCAACGTCAGTCAAGCACTAGCACTTACCACTGCTTTACACAATCATGCATAAATTTTCCATGTAGAAATTAAATTATTTTTTGGCCATGGCAGTGTTGTTGGAACTTGATGATCTTTAACTTCCTTTCCACCCCAAACCAGTCTGTGATTCTAAACTGGATTTCGGGAATTGGTAAATTTCCTCTAAATATCCCTAAGAAATGGAGAATTCTGTGCATTGCTAAGAAAAGCAGCACCTTGCCAACACAGTAATATACATATATGCCTGGACAGTCACCAAATCAATCTTTCCTAGGAAATGTTTACTCAGGAGCTCTCAGACATGTTCTGTATTCTAGTGTGTGCCAAACCTTTCCAACTCTAAGGCACTTCCTCAAGTCCTGTTCCTTTTCTTCCCCCCACAGGTCATCATGAAGTGCAGCCTGAACTATGTAAGTCCCACTAAAGAGAAATTGAGGGGCGGGAAGATTTTGCTAATTAGCAACAGCCAAAACAGGAAGTTGGATTAATCAAGCAAGAGCACTGCTGTTTATAACGTAGTGTTAAGAGAATTTGTGAGCCTGTTTGGGAACCATAGCTTATATGGACTTGAAGCCTCCTAGAATATCTGGGAATTTTACCTAGAGTGCTTCCTCTTGGGATGTTGAACATTAATGGTACTTTCAAGCAATAATTTTCCTTTTTCATTACAGCTGCTGATCAAACTATCCAACCTCTAGCACCAGCAGTGAAGAACTTCACCCTGAACTTCACAATAACCAACCTCCAGTTCACAGCAGATCTGCAGAAACCCAATTCCAGGAGATTCAAGTCAACAGAAAAAGTCATGTACCACTATGTAAGTCTCGCAAACAATTCTCTGCTGGGGCAGAGTTCTCTCAGTATCTCTCATCTCTTACCTTCACTGGGACAACTTACTTCCATGTTGTTATTCCATTTCCAGCTTGATCTTTTACTCCAAAGGAGCAGCATTGGCCCAGCTTACATCGGCTGCAAAGTAATGGCATTCAGGTAAGAGCCATGTCTGGGAAAAGTCCCCATTCCCTGCTTCTTAAAATTTCCATTTCTCAGCATTTAACTCATCTTTGGGTATTTTCTTATGTGGTAGCCATGTCTGAGGGGTTTTTCTGATCCCTCTCTTTGTATGCTAGAAGTTAAGATAGATTTCTCATTAATGACTAAACCAATGCCTCGTTTCCTAGGTCCACGGAGAACAGGGATGACACAGTAGTAGATGCCATGTGCAGCTGTAGGGATGAGCCTTCAGATCCCAAGTTCAACAGAGCAACCATTTACCATGAGCTGAGCAAAATGACCAATGGCATCACCAAACTGGGACACTACAGCCTCAACAGCCAGAGCCTCTATGTCAATGGTAATGAGACCTTCTCAAGGCATTTTTCCAAATGAAATTGTGGATTCCCTGTCTCTGGAGCTGTTTAAGGCCATGTGGGATGGAGCTCTGAGCGTCCTGGTCTAGTTAAATGTGTCCCTGTCCAGGGCAGAGAGGTGCACCTGGATGGTCTTGAAGGTCCTTTCTATCTCAAACCATTCTGGGATTCTATGTTGGAATCATGGAACCATTATAGTTGGAGAAGACCTCTGATCAAGTCCAGCCTTCAGTGTTGACACAGACTAATTTGAAATTAGAATGAAGAAGGTTTAATTCACCTCTTAAAACAGAGAACAAAAATTAGAGGGCAAAACCCTTCAGTCACCAAGTTAAAAGTCTTGAATTCAGCAACCACAATCTTGTAATAAAATCCCGTCTTTAGTCCTGATGAGTCTCTCTTGGAATATTTTCCTAATAATTTTCCATTTGTTTTTCAGGTTACAATGAACCTCACAGTCTATCCTGTAAGTATATTTAAAAGCAAATACAGGTTAAGACTACTTAAAGGCATAAATTGCTTTTCTCTTCTGCTGATTTGGCAGTGTTCTTAACACTGCAAAAGGTCTGAAGGGTGGGATCATGTGCACATGGGTTTTTTTCCCTAAGAAACCCAATAACAGCAATGGAGATCCTGTTCTTATTTACTCATTGTCGTTTTTGTTCCCTCTTGCAGCAGTGAAATCAACCACACAAAGCCCAGGAGCAATCACGGAGAACTTCACCCTGAACTTCACCATAACCAACCTCATGTTCACCACAGACCTGGAGACACCAAATTCCCGTAAATTCCAGTCTGCTGAGAAAATAATGAAACACTACGTAAGCCCAAATGCTGTTGTTTTTCACTGAAATCACCCAGGATTTTGGGGTTCCTGTATTCACAGAGACTTTTCCTTGCTAGATTGACTCCCTGCTTCAGAAGAGCAGCATTGGCCCCAATTTCACTGGCTGCAAAGTGACGGGATTCAGGTGAGCAATAACCACAGAGATTCACTTGGAACTGCAGCAAATGGATTTCCTTACATTTGTCTGACACTTTAATAATTGTCCTCCTTTCTCTATAATGAAAGTAGTTGCTTTCATTATAATAAAGCTTTTACACCATTTTGTGTGGTCTTTACCTTACAAAGCCCCTTTCTTTGTAAGGCCATATCTTGGTGGTTTCTGCACCTCGTCTGTGAATTTTGGGCAGATTTATTTGAAGGGTTTTTTAATCACATCAAAACAAAAAAAACAAACAAACCCTCCCCCCCAAAATATTTTTAATAACTAACAGAAGCTCCATGATATTAAATTCCTCAGGCCTGGGAAGAACAGGGATAGCACAGGAGTGGACACCATCTGTGGCTACAGAAATGGCTCCCAGGTGCCCAAATTTCACCCAGCTGAGGTTTACCAAGAGCTGAGGAGAATGACAAATGGCATCACCAAGTTGGGAATCTATGACCTGGACAACAAGAGCCTCTATGTCAATGGTGAGTGTTTGATTTTCCCACTCCTCCAGGCACTGGAGCATTTTGGGACCACCTCAGCTGTCAGGGATCACCTCAATATTAAAAAAGTCACCTTAAGGAGGAGGTCTAGGGTTTTCTACCTAATTTATCTGTGTAAGATGAAGTATAAAATTTAAAATCTTTCCATGTTGACATTTTTGAAGCTTTTTATTTCTGTATTACATTGAAAAGTGAACTTAATTTTAGTCTTGACCTCAATCATTCACCTGCCTGTGAACATTTCACCTGATTTCAGTCCCACAGTGTATAATTAAACATTGGCCCACACATTTTCTCATTGTAGCCCTGCTCTTCCAAAGCACCTTGTTCTGCCTAAGTTTGCTTTGTTTAATACATTCACACCCTTGGGGCCAGGTTCTGATGATTCATTCTCAAGTCATCCTTTTATCACCCCCTCTACACTTCCATTCTCCACAGTGGATGCTCTCTTACATAACTCTTTCTCTTGCATTTCCTTTCCAGGTTACAACGAACCCCTTGAGAGATCCCGTAAGTATTTTGCCAAATTCATTTTGCCACGCACATTTTGCCAAATTCATTTCAGGGGAAGCTCTCAAAGGAGCAATGCCCTGAGAAAATCAGAGGGGGAGAGATTATTCGGAGTAGCTTTGAGGTGTGCTGGGATTAGGAATGTTTTGAAAGTGAAAACAGCTTTTTCTGTAGGAAATTCCTAATCCTTCTCCCCTTTGATTACAGCCAGGAGCACCACAGCTGCACCAAAACCAATATCCAGGAATTTCACACTTAACTTCACCTTGACCAACCTCCGCTACACTGCAGATCTGGATGACCCAAATTCCCGCAGATTCCTTTCCACAGTGAAAGTTATGAACCACTATGTGAGTCTGGCTCTGCTTGTGCCCCTTTTGGGTCTTGGTAGTGACCTAAATCCACCTGCTTTAAACTCAGAATATGATTCCAAATTCTCAATTGTCCTTTTTTTTGACAGCTTGACCCTCTTTTCAAGAGGAGCAGCATAAACTCTGCCTACACAGGATGTAAAGCCATGAGATTTAGGTAAGATTTGGAATTCCAGAATCACAGGATGGGTCAGATTTGAAGGGACCTCCATGGGTCACCTGGTCCCACCTCCCTCTCCAGCAGGGTCATCCCAGAGAGCACATGGATTGTGTCCAGATGGCTCGGGAATATCTCCAGTGAGGAGATGCCACAACTTTTCTGGACAATCTGTTCCAGTGCCTGGTCACTGCACAAGGAAGTTGTTCTTCCTCATGTTCATGAATTTCGTGGGCATCAGTTCCTGCCTTGTTCCTCTTGTCCTATTCCTCAGCCCCAAAGAGCAGAGCCTGGTCTCTGCTCTGAGCCCTCCCTGCAGACACTAAAAATATCTGAAAGAATGCTAGAAGTGTCTGAAACACTAAAATACATAAATATAAAACACTTAAAATACTCCTGAAATTGCAATGAACCATTTCTTTCTCCACTCTCACACACCTTCAATTCATGGCTGTGCTGAGGCCAGAAAAGAGCAGCTGGTGACACTTCCCTGTCCAGCCAGGATTTTTTTAGCTGGTAAAATAATTTTGGTATCTAAATGTCATCACCCCAATTCTGGAAAGCCTGGTGAAGGATGCAAGAGCCCATTGGCACTGAGGGTTTGGTGTGTGTCCTAAAAACCCCACAGGAAGTTCTGCCAGCAGAGCAGTGTTCCAAAGAACGTGTCTGATGTTTTTCCCCAGGTCTGGGAGGCGCAGGGATGACACAAAAGTGGATGCTGTGTGCAGCTACAAGGACAATGCCAGCCTGGCCAGGTTTGACAGAGAAAAGCTTTACCAGGAGCTGAGCACCATGACAAACAACGTCACCAATCTGGGCCACTACAGCCTGGACAGGAGCAGCCTGTATGTTGATGGTAAGCATCCATGGGGATAACAGGATTTTGGGATCTCCTGGAGATCATTCCTCATCCCTGGGGCCTGAGCAATGATGAACCCTTTGGTCTGTTGGTTTTTTTTGTTTGACACAATGATAAAACCAATCCTATAGGATATTGCCATGCTGGCAGCATTTCCATTCCTAAATCAGACAAGTTCCTGGTGAATTTCACTGGTACAGTGTATGACCTAAGCAGGGATGAATCTATATTGCTTTTATGATATGAACAGATGTAAAAATAAATTCACTTTACCCTTTTTATTTAGGTTTCACCCTCACAGACACGGCTGCAACCAAAAAGCCTCTCTGGACTGCAGTCAAACTGGGCTACAGACTGAGCTTTAGAATAATCAATGAAAACCTCACCAACCCTGATTCCCAGTCTCCAGAATACAGAGCAGCAGTAGAAAGCATCACCAACAAGGTAAGGAGGTGTTTGAGAATATGTCTGACTGGTCAGTGCTTGAAGCAACTACCAAAGATTAATGTCTGAATTAAAAAAAAAATTTTAAAAATCAACGTTTGGGAACAAAAATTTATACAATCTGAAAGATAAGTTTGGCCTTTGATTCAGTTTTGGTTTTAAGTTGTACCTGGTGGGTGTCATCCCTGCCCATGGCAGGGGACTGGGGCTGGAGGATCTTTAAGGTCTTTTCCAACCCAAACCATTTGATGATTCCATGTGGTCTCATGAAATTCTCTCCAGTCAAAGACATGGACTGCAAAATGCCAGAGCTGATCTGTTAAATGAACATTAACAGATGTTCATTCAGCATTTCACTCCCACCTCCAGAACTGCATCCAAGGCCAATCCCTGCTGGCAAATCCCTGGTCTGCACATGCATGATTCACCCCTAGAATCCAACGTTTTCTCTTCAGCACCAATCCAATTTATCAAACTGATGAGGCCATGGTTGGGTGGGTTTTGCTCTCTTTGAGCTGTGGGTCTGTGAGGTTGGGATGTGACTCAGGACACTGCTCCCCCACACTGCCATCCTGCTCGGATAAGGCAGGAATGCTTGCCAGGCTGGAAGTCAGACCCCATCACCAGAAAATGCCTATTCCAAAGTAAAACCCAACCCCCATGAAATCCAACCAGCAAAAAATAACCCTGGCATTTCTCCAGAGCTCAAGTCCCTCCTGCTGGCCTAAAGCCTCCAGCACAGTGCCCAAACTCATTAATATTTAATGGGACATTTTGATTTCAGATGAATCACCTGTACCATCAGAGCGACCTGCGGGACCAGTTCCTGACCTGCAGGATCACCGGGCTGAGGTCTGGGATAAAATCTGATTTTGTTTAAAGATTGCTACACCCTGGCACTGCTCCCCCATGGCCAAGAGCCACTGGCCCCTATGGATTTCCTCCCTTCCATTCTCCTGTGGGAAACTGATACCCTAAGGAGGCATTTCCAGGCTTCACAGAAGTTGTCAGTTTGAATTTATTTTGGGGTTTCTCAGTCAGGGTTTCTGTAAGGCACTCTCAAGTCTCTGAGTATCCCAGGAATTACAGATTCCATCCTTTTACTGGGAACTGGTGATCCTGTGGCCTCTGCACTCCTCTCAACCTGAGCTCCACTAGATTTTAAAAGTGAGCTGTGATGTCCTGCTCAGGCCTGAGTGAGGCTTGGACAAAGGACCCTCCCACAACACCAAAGATTTTAAAAAACTAAAAGTGCTGCTTTTTCCTTGCATTCATGCAATACAACCTAAATCTGTCCAGAGAAGAGGTAAAATTTTAACTCCTGCCCCTGTCCAGTGGAAAAGCCCCAAGCAGCCCATTCCACACCATTATTCCACCACATCACTTTAAACCACTCAACCTTCAGGACAACAGGAACCCTTCAGGAAACTCCTTCCCACACGGAGCTTCCTGCCCATCCTACTTATCCCCAAACCTCTGTCCCTCTGCCCACAGGCCTGGATCCATAGTGGTTGACTGCCAGTGCTTCTTCCAGCCCGACCCCAGCATCAACAGGGCTGTGGTTGAAAGGACTTTCCAGGACAGGACCTCCAACACCACCGGGCTGTGGCTGGGGAGCAGCTACAGACTGCAGGAATTCTCAGTGGACAGTACGTGGATCAAATCCCTTCCCAGTGTCCACGTGGATAACTCACTTTGCCATGGCACACTCAGAATCTCCCAAATTTGCTCTGTCAGAGCACAAAGAAATCTATTATTAAGTTGAATCACTGGACTCTGAGTTAGGCCGTTCAGACATTCAGTCCTCTAGTCACTGATGGCTTAAGGGGTTGTTCAATATTAAGATGTTCTCCAGTATTAAATTTAATAAAAATATTAAATTTAATTTAAAAATTAAATTGTTATTCAAAATAAGGTGTTTTCAGTATTAAAAAAAAATCAGAAATTGCAGTGTGAACTGCTTACCACAGCTAGAGATAAACAGACTTTCAGCTTTTTTTCCCAATGTGCAGCATCCCAAAGAAATAAATGCCCTGGTATATTTGGAGTTTCCTGTCAGACCTCAGTGCAACTCAAGTTCTGCCAATCTAATACTTCCAGCTAAAAGACTGCTGCTCAGTGCTGCTTGCTAGGAAAGCCTCAGTTTCTCTCTGCTAGAATTTAATTTTCCTCTCCATCTCCAGCCTTGGAACTCTCAGTTGAGGCAGCAACCCACAAGACACCCCTCGAGTCTCGCAAAGAAAACTTTGGATTAAATTTCCAAATCTCCAACCTTCCCTACTCGCCAGAACTGCAGGACTCCAGCTCCCAGATGTACCAAGAGAACAAAGAGAAGATTGAGAAAGAGGTGAAATGAACAGCAATAGCTTGAGCTCCTTGTCCAAAGGATGTGTTAAATTAACTCCACCTTCCTCAACTCTTTTGTTTCTCCCCATCAGCTCGAGGTATTCAGGAGCAGCCACCTGAAGGAACAATTTGTTGGCTGCACTGTGGAGAGCTTTGGGTATGTCCAGTGCTGTTTTCAAGTCCCAAAGGAGCGGTTCAGGAGGTCATTTAGGGTGTCCACCCCTCCCTGCCAACCTCTGTGCCCCCAGTGACACACGGGAGTCACCTCACTCTCCCTCAGTCACTTTTGCCTTTACCACAAAAGGTTTCTGTCCAAACAGAGCTGGTTTTGTTTCGGTGCTTGCAGAGCTGTTTTCATGCATGAACAATCCCAGGGTAAAGCAAACATGTTCATTCTCTCATTTAACGTGCTCAAATAGGCTCAAATTCCACTGGCACACTGAAGGAAACCCAACTGACCAGCCTGAGGACAAAATCTGCCTGTGGAGGGTCCTCCAACTACTCTTTGGAGGAACAAAGTGGCAGAGTAGATTTAACTTTTAGAAATAAAGCTGATTTAACTCATAGAGCAGATTTTCCTTGTAGAAATAGAGCTGATTTACCTCTTAGAAAGAGCTGATTTACCTCTTAGAAATGCCTTGCTGGGGATTAAATCAGAGGATGGAATTCTCAAGGTGCCAGGAGTTCCTGTCTCACCCAGAACAAGCCACTAAAAGTGATCCCATCCCAATGAAACGTCACTGGGACATCTGCAAACCTGAGACCCCAAATCCCTCTCCCTGCTCTACTCAGCTTCATTTTCTCTCCTCTCTGCCACCCTCCAGGCCTGTCCATGGCAAAGGACACACAGAGGTTTCCTCCATCTGCAAGTTCACCCTGGATCCCCTCTCGGGGACTTTACCAGAGCAGGAGGTGTTTGAGGAGCTGAAAATCCTGACCCAGGGCTTCACCAGGCTGGGCCCCAGCTATGAGCTGGAGGAGCAGAGTCTGATGGTGGAAGGTGAGAGGTCCTGGAGGGACATTTTGGGGAATTCTTCTTAATTTTGTCTAAATCAGCTCCATCATCTGTCCCACTCCTCATTTCCAGGTTACTCGCCACTCAAAACAGACGAGCCAGAGTCTAAAAGATCAGGTAGGTGCTTTTTTTGGCAAGGATTGACCCAACAGCCACTGAATGCTTGAGCTCTAATAAATAATTGAACCCTGATAAATACTTGAGCTGCAATAAATTAGCATCAGATCTCTTGGAATGGGACTAAACCCATGGAAAAGACAAAAAATCCAGGGCTCTTGGTAGCAAACAGCAGGTGCCACCAGCCTGAGGGAAATGGAATTGAAGGACAGGCAAAAGCAGTTTGGGAACTGTTTGAAAACTCTGGCACCAATAAATTTTGATAACTGCAGTATTTCTAAAAAAAACCAAAAAACTGACCAGATATGGTTTAGTTTATCTAGAACCCCAGGAATAACAGCAAACACAGAGAGAGAAAAAAATACCCTGAGCTGTCACTTTCCTAAACACTCTGGTAAAATAACCACAGCCTTTGCTGACACCCTGAGCCCTGTCCCTGTCCCCAGAAGTGTCCAGGAGCTGTTAGGACAGAACTTTGTCACTCTGAACACCCCTGGATCCAGCTGGGGGCTCTGCTGCTCCCTGCAGTGGCATTTAAGGTTGTGGATCCCTGAACCTTCACTCCATTTTCCCAAATTTCTCTAATTTTCCCTGACCTACAGAGCGTTCAGCACTTCAGAACTTTGCCAGGGTGAGATCTCCCTCTCAGACCCCACATGGAGGAGTCTCTAAACCTGATGTTCCCTTTTTTTTCCTTTTTCAGAGCTTCAGTTCTGGGCCATCATCCTCATCTGCCTTTTCACCCTGCTGGGTTTCATCCTCCTCCTCTTGTTGTGCTTCCTGGTGAGTGTCCCCTTTGCTGTCCCACTGTCCCTTGGCTCTGCAGAGCCACAGGAGGGACATTCAGACCCATTCCCAAGGATCCCAGTGGGAGCAGTGCCTGCAAACAGCAAAAACCACCCCAAATCCTTCAGTCCCTGCCAGCTCTTCCAAGCACTGGGGATGGGGAAGGGAATTTAGAGTCAGCTGAGCAGATTTTTAGGAAAGGAAGCAGAATTTTCCTTCTGGAAAAGCAGCAGGATCGTGGCTGGCACTGGGTTTTTGCAGAGGGAAAAACACAAACCCAAAGGCGAGGCCAGCACCAAGATGAGGAGCAGGAATTGGGGAATCCACAGGTGGAAACAGGGAATCCTCTGCAGCATTTCCTAAACCTCTTCCCTGTCCAAATACCTGCAGGATGAGCAGGTTTGGGATGACAAATGCCAAAACCAACATTTTTAACAGCCTGTGGGAAGCACACTGAGAGTTTTGTATCCAGTGCTCTCTAACCTGGCAGGGCCATGCTCCAGCTGCAAATCCTTGGAAAAGGCAGAGGAGATCAGATCCTCTTCCCATCTCTGCTTTGATGGGGAAAAGCACTGCTTGAAAACATTGCTTTGCACCAGCTGAGGAGAAGAGCTAAATCTACAGAGAGCAGAGAGGTTCAGGAGACAAAATTACAGCCAGCAGGATTTGGGAGAGGAAACCCCTCTGCTGCAGAGCTGCCTCACAGCTTTAGGCATTTGGGGATTTTTATTTCCAAAATCCCTCCCTTCCCACCTGGCAACGTGATTTGGGGACACCTAATGGTGGGCAGAGCATGGATTCAATATTTTTTTACCGTTAATTTTGGTCATTTTGCCATTAATTTCATTCTTTTCCCATTAACTTTGTTCTTTTTCCCATTAATTTTTTGTTCTTTTCCCACCAGGTCCTCTCCTGCCTGAGGAGAAAGTCCCACCTGTACCAGATGCAGCAGGGCCTGTATGGGTTGTACTTCCCCCACCTGAGCACTGGGAAGGTTCACTGACACCTCAGCTTGGTCTTCCCAGACCTGTTCGTCCACAGATGAAGGAAAAATAGCTATAAAAAAAACTAGAAAATATTTCTGTTATAAATTATTTCAGCGTTTTTTCTCTCCTTGAGACAAACCTTTGCACTATTGCCATGATTCTTTTCATACTCCAGGAAACTGCCAACAGCGCAGGTGCTGAGGAAAATATTATATTTTTGTTTTAAGCACTGCAGTGTTTTATATAAATATACATTTTATATAAATATTACACAACCAAAGGAAAATAAAAACTACCAGGAGCTGCAGTTTGCAAAGCCCTTCAGTGTTAATGTCAGTTTTCTGAAAAAGGCTTAAAATTATACTAATTTAGAGATTTTTGGGGACTGACTGTTGTAGATTTAGAAATCCCACCTAGATTTTAGCTTTTCCACCACTGAGCTTTAAAAATGTAAATATCTTAAATTAATTCAAATATTTCCTCTATTTATAATTATGACATTATGATGTAAAGAGACCTTGTTAAATCTGAGTGTGACACAGCCAGGCTGTGTTTTTTTGAGATTGCTGCTGATTTCAGTTCAATAAATGCCACCTTTTACTGCCATGGAGTTGTGTTTCTTCTTTATCAGCATTTTTATCATCCCAAATCAGAAACTCTGCAGAAATCCTGGAGGTTTTGCTCCTCAGCTCCCATCCCACAGCACAGGATCTGTTTTTAGAGTTCAGCACCTTTTCCTGCCCTTCTCACCTGGCCAGAATTGCCCCAAAACTCCCATTTCATGCCCCAATTTCCTGCCCAGCCCAAGACTCAGGGCTGTTTCTCTGCAATTATTTGATCCTATAGTTAAATGAATTCTCTGAAAGTGAAAACATTCAATTAGAATTAAGGAACCCACGATTAGTCATTAATCCTTCCACTGCAGGCAATGTTTCCACGAAACCAAAGTCGGTTTTGCCTCCGAAGCCCAGCTCCTCCAGGGCAGGTCCAACCAGTTCCCCCAGCTCAGGGTTTCCTGCAGAGGATTAGGATCAGTTTGCTCGCTCAAACAAAGGGCTTGAAGCACCAATTATGTCAGCAAACATCGATTAAAAGCTCTCGGAGCTCTTGCAAAACCCCTCTGCAGAGTCCTGAGCTGCCACCCTGCGCCAGGATCGGTCGGGGTGGGAAGGAATTCCCAGCTCTAATTCCCAGTCTGGCCAAGGAAAGCTGTGTCCAGCCATGAGAATTGTAAAATCCTGAGCTGGATCCCTCAGGGATGATCAGTGCAGCCCCTGGCCCTGCCCAGACCCCCCAACAAGCCCACCCTGAGCATCCCTGAGAGCGCTGTCCAAACGCTCCTGGAGCTCTGGCAGCCTTGGGGCCGGGCCCATTCCCTGGGGAGCCTGGGCAGTGCCAGCAGCCTCGGGGGGAAGAACCTTGCCCTGAGATCCATCCCAAGCCCTGGCACAGCTTTGTGCCATCAGAGCAGCAACTCCTGCCTTGGCAGCCCTGAGTCCTCAGCTGCCTGTTCCTGCTGTGCCTCAGTTTCCTTCTCGCTGGTTCCCCTCTCCCCGGGGAGCCTCTCACTCCCCAAAAGCCACGAGTGAAGCCAGCAGCAGAGATGAGGAGCTGGCTTGCACTGGGAGAGGAAGGTGACGGTTTTCGGAGCTGTTTCCCGGATATTCTGAATTTTCCTTTTCCCACTCCAGCCCCAGGGGAAGAGCTGCCTCTCCCAGCAGGAGCCGCATCCCTCGTGCCCAGGGTTTGGAGAGGGGAGGATCAGCATTCCCTGCCGGGCAGGGCTGGCACGGCTGTCCCGTCCAGCCCGGGGACAAAAGGGAATGCAGAAAATCCAGCAGTTTCCCAGGGAAGCTCCAGGAGCGCTCCAGGACCAGAACTAACCGGGAGCACAGGCACGTTTCTCACAGAAAGGCACAAGAAGCTGATCTAATGCAGAAAACCCTCGATGCAGACCTGTTTGTGGGGATCCAAAACGCCAAGGAAACCTTCCCAGCACCACTTGAGACCCCACTTCCCAAAGGAATTGTTCCTTTCTGCAGGAACAGCTGCAGAGCACAGCCCAGGACGTGCCAGGTACCACCAAGCCCACCCACCTCTGCCATCCTGGGCAGGGGGCAAACCCCAGCCCTGCCAGAACCAGAACCAGAGCCACAATTAAAGCTGGAAATCAATGGGAAAGGAGCACCAAGACAACTGTGAGGGGAGGGAGCAGCGGCTGGCTTGAGAAAGGGCTCAAGGGTGCTCTGGGGGTGGCCACGAGCCTCAATCCAGAGCTGCTTTCCAAGGAATAGGAGGCCTCACTTTCCATGGATGCTCCTGAGCATCCCCTGGGCTGTCTCAGAATGAGCCTGGCAGGGCTGGGCCAGCTCAGCAGCACCAGGGGCTCTGCCCTGGACCTGGATCGGGCTGGGCAAGGCAGAGCAAGGGGATGGAGAAAGCCGGGAATGTGCTCCCAGCTCCTGCTGCAGCCCCTCCCTTCACCCCCTGCTTTGTCTCCCTCTGCCTCTCCTCTCCCCTTCCCCTGCAGCTGCACCAGGGAGGCTCCTCAGCGTTCTGTCCTTGTGTCTGTCCTTGTGTCTGTCCTTGTGTCTGTCCCTGGAGGGTGAACTGGCCGCTGGCAGCCCCGATCCCACCCTGCCCTGCCCAGCCTGGCACTGCCTGGGAATCACTGCAGGAGAACACCAGGAGCCATCCTGGGCTGCACAGGTAAGATCAGCTGCTCCTCATCCTCTCCCCAGCAAATCCTATTCCATTGGGCTCTTACAGATGGAAAAATGTTCCATCTGCCTTGGAAGCAGCTGTCAGAATTCTCTTTGTGCAGCGAGGCTCCAGTTCAGGGAGTCACACACTCAGACCCCTCTGCACCGCTCTCAGCATCAACCCAGCCCCACTTCCCAGGGCCAGAATTCCCTCCTGTCCCACCTTTCATGGAGAGAACAGGGGGGACCCGAGCTGCCCAGCCCCAGCTGGGATTTACAGCTCCATAGGCAAGAGCTCATCCTTCTTACTCACCCCCCTCAGTCCTTCCTCTAATTAGTTAATTAATATAATTAGATGTCTTCAGCATTTCTCCACTGGGAACCTCATCCTGGGACAGCCAGGAGATCTCCACCATGCCCAGCAAGAGATTTAGTTTGGGTTAAAACTGGTTGTTTTAGCAGCAAATGCATCATTTTGTCAGTGGCAATCGCTGAATTTACTGGCAAGGTTTGGTGTCACCTGCAGGGTTTGGTGTCACCTACAGGGTGTGGTGTCACCTACAGGGTTTGGTGTCACCTGCAGGGTTCGGTGTCACCTGCAGAGTTTGGTGTCACCTGCAGGGTTCGGTGTCACCTGCAGGGTTTTGGTGTCACCTGCAGGGTTTGGTGTCACCTACAGGGTTTGGTGTCACCTGCAGGGTTTGGTGTCACCTACAGGGTTTGGTGTCACCTGCAGGGTTTGGTGTCACCTGCAGGGTGTGGTGTCACCTGCAGGGTTTGGTGTCACCTGCAGGGTTTGGTGTCACCTACAGGGTTTGGTGTCACCCTCACGATGCCAAAAAGCCCCAGGGACACCCACCTGTGCTCAGGCAGGCAGCTCAGCCATGCCAGTCCCCCAGCCAGGTGACACCTGTGGCCCAGGGCAGGGACACTGGGTGGCAGCTGGCAGTCAGAGCAGTGTCCAGCAGGATGTGATGGGAAGTGCTGCTCCCTGCAGGGAGTGAATCCCCTCTGGGGCAGGGCACAGGGGGCTGCAGGGACCCCCCAACACGGCGTTGCAGGGCCCGAGGTTCCAGTGACCCCAGGCAGCCCCCGGTGATGTCACAGAGCCCTCGGGCGCTCCAACATTCCGTTCCCAGAGCTGCCCCAGGAGCTGGGAAAGGCCCTGCCAGGAGCAGGGAATGTGGCAGGACCGTGGGATGGGGCAGGGGAGCAGAGGGGAGGCTGCAGGAATGCCGGAGGGGTGCAGGGAGGAGGTGCCAGGGGTGCTGGAAGGATGCTGCAGGACAATTTCTCCCAGCTCTCTGACCAGCAAAGAACTTGAGTCTCAAATGGACCCCAAGTGGTCACTTCAACACCCCTGAAACTTTCCAGAGAAACCCAGCCCCAAATCGGGGCTGCCTGCAGGGAGGAGCAGCCCCTGGGATCCCCCAGAGCCACAGGGCTGTCCCTGTGCTGAGCTGTGCCCCTGGGTGTCAGCTCTGCTGTGGTGACATTGCTGAGCCCCAGCATTGCAAGAACCAAAATGATTCAAAATCGAAATAACTTCAGTCTTACACTGCCTGATTTCATAGCCCCAGGGAGGGCAGAGCATCAATATTTGCACTCCAAATCCAGCTCAGCTCCTTTGGCTTTGGCAGCAAAGGCTGAACAGCAGCGCCCTGAGAGGGGAACCGGGCTTGGATTGAGATTCAGAAATTAAATAATAATAAATAATAAATTATGATAAATAAAAACAAGCCCCAGAGTGTTTACAGGAGGTGACTCCCCATCTCCCAGGTGACATCCAAGCTGTGAGGATGTGGTCAGACAGGTCCCAGCTCAGCCCATCCCCAGGGCAGCCACACTCAACATCCTCAACATCTCCTTCATCCTCTGAGCACCACCAGCACCCTCTGACCACCGTGCCTGAGCGGTGCCACTGGCCCCCCCGGGTGTCACCTCTGCTCAAGGTGGCATCACTGAACCCCAGCATTGCAAGAAACAACACCAAAAAAAATCCCCAAATCAGACCAAGGAACCCCTCAGGACCTTCGAGCACCATTTCCCACCAAATTCCTGCCCAAAGCAGAGGATCCCATGGAGCAGCCTGGGGGTGCTAAACCTGCACGGGACACAGAGCTGGGAAATCCCATCCCTGGGGCTGGAGGTGCCTTCCCCTGTCCCTGTCCCTGTCCCTGTCCCTGTCCC